AAACGTACTCCAGCCGAAATATCTGGATGCTTTAGTTGGAGTATCGGTCGATATTTTTTACTCTTTTATCTAGATATTACAGCTAGAGCATCGAGATAGCTAGTCGCGTCGGTCGATGTATTGCTCAATATATTTAAATGCACCGAGTTTTTCGCGATGAAAATGTCAATTAATGGGCAATGCTATCTAGTTGCATCGAGAAAAACATTTATCTGCATCTATATGCGTCGACCAGTAAATTGGCCACCGTAACGCATTGCACGATACTCGATGTTTTTTGTGTGCTTGGGTGTCTCAAACGAAAACTAGCGTGCAGCTTCATGTCAAAGCAGATTAAGCTACATAACTAATCGAGCGAAATTCCATGAGAAACTGTTCTTAGTTAATTCAAGCTTAGCAAAAAGAAACACTTTAGACCGTAAGTCTATGTTGGCACGCTGTGTTCTCTGTGCAATATTTTCAAGCTTTTACCATTCGTGAAAAGTGAGCAGAGCCTGTGGATTTTTTACCTGATATACTCTTTTTTAGTAATTTTCAACAGAAGCTTCTTCTGGTTAGGTAAAGTTGAAATCATATCTGTAATGTAAAAAAATATGTAGATCACGAATAGCATAATTGAATGTTTTATAATTCCCTGGTCATAGATCTGTTCGGAACATATGAAGATTTACTGTCTCGCCGCAAACTCGTTCATATACAATCAATTGAAGTCAATCGTATTGTATTGCTGATAGTAGTTCTAAAGTGGCTAAGTCTAAATTTGATATTCAATAAAGTCTTATACCTCCATATGTTTAAACAATTTAAAAGTACTCAGAATCTAACAACAAGGATTATTTCTAAAAGTAATTATGAGCTTACTAAGCAAAATATCGTCTGACTATTGTTGACACCATAATACTAGTTTAGTGACAGGAGAATACAATGTTGATACTCTTTCTATAACACAATAATTTAAACCAGAGGACACTCTGACACTGAAATATGTTATTGAGAAGGAGATTTTTGATGCAAAAGAAAGATGCTTAAAGACAATCTAATTTATTAGGGATAAATTTTTTCATACCTTCGATACATGCATTTTTGTCCTCTTTCCAAGTTAGTAGTTAAAAAATAAATCAGGTGTTCTCTAGACATAAAAGAGCAAAAGAATAAATTGCCTCTATGAGATTTGGTAGCATTAGCTTCAAAACACAACTGTTGAGGGCAATATAATGACAAGTAAAAAGAGTCTACAAACACATGTTTAAATGAAGAACAACGAAGGAAATACAAATGATAAACAAAACATATACGTTGCTCGTCTTTCTTATTAGAGTAAACTCATAAAATAGAAAGCACATTGATATAATTAATAATCTGAAAATATGGACGAAATATATTTTCACCTTCATAATATGGATGGAGAGATAATATTTTGTTTACTTATCCTTGTTTTGTTAAAGCTATATAAGATACTATCTTTGATCTTGTGCATACGGTTTAATTAGAAATTTTTTAGTTTAATATGAATGAAAATCAAGGTTAATTTACCATTTAGCCTTGACAAACAAATTCTTGAGCGATAGATTCTGTCTATTAAACTGAGGAAGAAAGAGAAAAAAGAAGAGCAGTCTCAGTTATAACTACAACCTCTGAAGGCTACATGAATATAAAAGTCTAGTGATTTGTTGGGGTGATGAAAAAATTCAACTCATTTTAGAAATTGCAAATCCATGTACTATCGTTTTACCGCATACTTAACGATTGAACCATATAAAAGAAAGACTCAATAGATAATTTTAGTTATACGACCAGATTTTTTTTGTTGTTTTTGTGTTCATGTTGTGGATAAGAAAAACAACAACAGTAGTATATAACTAAGAAGAATATTATGTGTTTTAAAAACGATTAAACCTAATTTTGTCTCGTTTTTTCCGGCCTTCTTTTCGTTCTTGAAATCAGTGTAACTAGTGGAGTTTTAATTCGTCGTAGAAAACATAGTAGTATAGTTAGTATTTCTTCACAAATTCAAGTACTGGGCAAAAAAATTTTCATTTCAAATCAGTAGAGTACGCGAGTCAATGAGTCCTAGTACTACAATAATTTTGTACACAAATTGCAATTAGGTGTCAGTCTCACAGAATGCTTTTTTTTATTCTAACTTTTCGAATGTTTTTCAGGAAGGTCTTGACAAAAAATGCAAAAACTTAAGAAATTTAAGATTTCTGATTTCTCGACCAGGATCTTGGCTGTGAACATTTTAACTAAAGTGAGTTCTTCTCGGTATTCGGTTGACTTATATATAGTGAAAATAATCCAATGCATCTTTTTCTCGAAATAAATATATTATTTCAAAATAAAAAATAAATTACTTCTTAGTTTTATTTTTTAGAAAAAATAAATTACATGAACAAGCTGAATTACTTAGAAACCACCGTTGAGTTTTAATGTACAAACGCTTTTTAACAAGTTGCTTCTTGCCAGTTGAAAATCTCATGCAAACAATTATTTAAGGACTATAGTAAGACATCTCTTCATCATCAAAATCAAGATCATATGTTTTTGTCTTTTCTTCGGTCAATGAAGTGTTTATAATTGACGAATGAACAGTTTCATTTGAATGGAATGCACTAACGTTTCTATTGAGTGATGTTAATAGAATCATCGTTAATAATAGTAAACTAAGCATCATTTGTTATAGTTTGACGTTGTGTCCGTTTTTTTAGATTTGACAACAATCTAAAATTTACCGTAAAAAAGTCACCGTTTTTGTATTAAAAAAAAAGTATTTTAAAATTAAATCAAAAATAAATCCACCTTGTTTCTCGAAGTTCGCTTCAAAGTTTAGAGTAAGACGTCTTCAAAACTGTGAAAGATAGAGTGGACCTTTTTAGCTCTTCAGTAGAAATTATACGTAACAAAATGCAAATTCTTCTTGTGTTAAGTAATATTACTCGTCTATTGGGAATTCTGTGGAATTTTAAAAATTTTTTCCAATAAATCCCATGTACGGGAGATATTTCCCATTTTGTTCTGACAAATTGCATACTGTATGAAAACCATCAACTTTTTTATGTAAAAAAGTTCAAGGTTTTGAAGTTTTTTTTTCACATTGTGATATTTCTACCACAAGGTTGACTATATTAGTTTCGACTATCAGTAAAATGATGGAATGTCCAAATGCTAATCAAAGTTGGCAATTGGGCAACTTAGGTCAGCAAGTAAAACTAGCGAAATGGACTGTCTGTTTACAAAAATATTCTGTAGTTGCGTCTAATATCGCCCAAAAAGAGAGGAAAATGACCGTTTAAGTACTTTCTAGTAGGTGGTGAAATATCATGACTTACGATATAAGTTTCAAGCAGACTAAATGATGACAACCTACGGGAATTATCTCTTGAAGGTAGTCTATGTACATTCGATTCGTGTCATAGTTGTCAACACATGGTTACAACGCAAGAAGAAAGAAAAGTTTGTCTATATTATTTCTTGTTTTATATCTATACATATAGTATAAGTCTTTATAGTTTAAATCGTCAAGGCACAAACTATAGTTTTATTTCATTTTTTATTGTTTATCACAGCTACCAACTTTATGTCAGATAAATGCTTGTTCTTCTTGATCTATATTTAGAACGAAAAAAAGAAATTCTATCTTGAAAAATGGCAGAAAATATGTATGTCTAAAAAAATTATTATGTCAAAGCATGTCATCAGGTTCTTTTAATCTTCGTTTTTTTGTCCTTTTTGTTGATCTCCAGAAAATTGATGAGTGTTAAATTGATGATTTTTTCGCTTTGTTGCGACAGTCGATAACAACTAATAAAAAACGAAATTTCAACTTACATACACTTGATTCCGTATCGTCGTTTAATGTTGTCGGCTCTTTGGATAAAAAAATACGTCCGGTCTGCTTACGGGTCGTCAGATTCCAGACGGATCCAAGCCATGGTTTTTCACAATCCGTGTAATCTCTAGTATGTGGCGCTCTCAAATGTATGTCATATCTAACTATGCAGACGTTTGCCTTTGGAAAAATGTGTTTATACGTGGGTTTTAGATAGTTGAGTATTGATGCGTTTGACTATAGCATTTTTGTCTCTCTAAACGTTTTAAACGTGTCCAGATATTAAATGCGTTTCGCTGAGCTGTTGACTGTTGCAGAACACTAGAAGATATAGACGTATGAAGATTTTTTCGTCAATTAATTGAAGAATCAGATGTTTGCAACTGATTTGAACTAATTAAAAACAGTTAACTAGTGGTTATAAGTCAGAAACAAGTAAGCAAAGATGAAAAGTGGGCTCGGAAATACCTCTCGAAAGCTTATATCAAGGGTCCGAAGTGCCATTTTCCGAGGGCTCGAGCTCTCGGCGAAGGCCCATTGAAAGTATATTTCCGAGTACTCGAAGTACCCCTCGAACAACTGGTTGGGTGCATGTCAGGGTAATACAGAGCTGTTTTAGAAGTCGGCTTGGCCACGTAACTCTGGTAACGCAGTATAATTCTATCACGATTTTTCTATATTTTGTTTCTATTACAATATTCGAACCAAAATACTTTCAGAACTCTTAAATTAAAGTGAAAAGTATGCTCAATATTTTGAGATATCCCTGCACTCTATACATTCTTTTGTTTAGGAAATATTGCAAGAATACAAACTACTACGCTTTTTGAAACACATACACACACTGCGGTAGCAGAGCTACGTGACCAAGTCGAATAATATTACTGTTTTAAGACTAAAATCGAAGAGTTAGAAATTACATCAATTATTATTTAATGTAAAGAAATTAAAAATAACAATACTTAACTACGAGCAAAGCTTATCTATTCTCACGTTAACATTATACAATATTAATGAATTAGGCAATAATTTATGTAAACTAAAAATAATACTTATTGTTTCGCATCACATATTTCTACAAATTAAGTAGTTTCTGATACTGAGTTAGCTGGTTGCAGAAATATATTGATTTTTTACGAATAAACCTAATAAAACTAGGATTTGTGATTGTTCATGATTGCATGGAACCTGATCTATGAAACCAGTTTAATGGTCCTTTCGAAGACGTTTGGCTACTTTTCGAAAATACGAAATTTTGATGTAAGACATCATCGAGATAATCGCTTGATACGTTTGTTATTTCAAAGTGATTTTTTAATAAAATTTCCAATATTTCCATAAGATTCATTGATGGAAGTTCAATGTTTCCATAACGTTTTCCTTGCAATCGATCAACATAATCCACTGATTGAGAACGAACTATTGAATGTGATTTTCGTAATAGAGGCGACGAAGATAACGGTGGTGATGAAGATAACGCCGGTGATGAAGATAATGGTGGTGATTCTCTACCGATACTTGTTCTTTTTAATGTTGAAACAATTGGTAACATTTGATCATCTTCTTTCTCGTTTTCTACCGAGTCTTCGTCAACTTCTTCTGTTGCCCCAAATGTACCACCCGTAAATGAATTCTTACGGTAACCTGAATTTTCTTCAACAACATAAATTATCGTTGTATAACGTTCAAATATTGTGCGTAAAACATTTAATTCACCAAATAATACGATACGCGATTTTATATTGAAAATATTATGATTATCATCGATTCGTTTTAAATAGATTGCATCCGAATAGCGAAGATGAGTTTGAGGTAATTCTGTAGTACCGGCTAGAGTACGGCGGCGAACATTTAAAACAGACTGAAGATCAACGGCACCAGTATTCACTGACATATCTTTTCAATGAAGATTTAATTACATTACACGAATGAGAATCTAAAACACAGAAAAAACCATTGTTATGGTATTTGATAGGGTGATAGTCCCAAGAAAAAGAATTATTGTAACTACATACATTTTCTAATTTGGCTAATTACACATCATTTTTAGAAAAACTAGATAATTTTTTTTTTCTAAAATTTATTATAGGATCCATACAGAAACTCACATACAAATCTAGAGTTAATATAAGAAAAAGAGCACAAAGGAATTAAAGCTTGATAATGGAACAGAACATGCTATATGAAAGCATTATTTTAAAAAATCGCTGAATATATATATTGAAACGCATATTTGTATTAGGTGTCTCATTTAAGAAAATAAACACACATTGACTCTAAGCTTTCAAAATATTGCTTTGTGTTTGAGAACAATTAATATTAAGGGAGATAGATTTTTCAGGACTGTGTTCTAACCTGAAAGCAAAAAGAAAGCGTAAAAGCAGAATACTCATGTGTCTAATGTTTTGCAGTATCAATAACTGGCAATCCACGATCATACGAATCTTTATTACGTAATAAAATGAATTCCTGTAATTTTGTTTTTGGACCAAAATTAGTTGAATTAGCCACAATTGAAAAATAATGCTTATGCAATATTTCTAAAACTTCAATTAATGACATTGTTGGGACTTCTATCGTACAATATAATTTACCACTTAGACGATCATGATTTTTAACAATATTTGGATCCGCATGATGAATTATCAATTGACTTGTATACTTTTGAAATATGTCAGCTAATACATGATAATCTCCTAAATAACGATAAAGAATAAATGAAAATATTCTGACAGAGAGAAAAGAAGACTTTAACGAACCATGAAATATACAGCGTGCATCTTCTCTCAGTATATCATGCGATTTTTCAACTTTTAGAATAATAACATCCGTATATCGATAGACATCTTGTGGAGCTTGTGGTGCTGTTAACGATAATCGACGTCGTCTTACATTCAACACCGATTCGAGATCAATTTCAGTTGTACTCATTTTTTGTGGATCCATTGTTGCAAGCTAAAAATAAAAAATGTTAAATTAAAAGCAAAGACTAATTACAAATCAATTTTATCTCTTAAACATCTGAGCTGATTGACATTACCTTTTCGTAGACCTGCGCCAGCAACGGTTAACCGATGTTTTAGTAGCTGGTCATCGGTTGACTGTTTAACTCATTCATTCGTATACCTAGGGATGCTACGAACCCGAACGTTCGAGTTCGCCTTTAAAAAGTTTGGATTCGGGTTCGAGTTCGAGTTCGACATCAAATATTTAACAAAATAAAGTAGATAATTAGACAATTATTACATACTCTCCTACACACGAGTTTTGCACATATTAATGTTTTCCTTTCACTTTCGCACTTTTACTCGAAAAACAGTTTTTGCTACAAACAAAAGCGTGAATAACATAGATTTCTTTTGTTCTGGTATGTATGTGTTAAGAACACGAGTACACAAAAGATGTGTCGCAATTGTTAAAAGAGACGGTACATTTGTGTTTAAAAGGACGAAGAAAAAATTCTCAAACTGGACTAGTCATTTTCAGTCCCGTCCCGATCGCGGAAAGTTGTTTCAGTTCCGGTCCCGGAAACTTTTTATGGCGCCGGAGATAATACTTTATTAATAAAGTTTGCATAACGTAGATGTGAAGTTCAATGCTCAGGGAAGAATTGTAAGACCCTGACGGTTTCCCTCAACGTTTCTATTTTAGTATAGAGAACAGGTCAAGTTTTAGCTGATTTTATGCAGTCTGCTCTATGACGGAGAAATAAATGTTTGATATAAGACTGTTATATGTGATAGACTAAAGATATAGAATATCTTAAAAGGTTGAATATTATGATCATATAGACTATCTCAGATTATTTTGAAAATGACCCATTATTGCAGGTTGCAGCCTGTGTGAGACACTAATTCCTAGAGATACTAATTCATTACACACCATGAAACTAGGGGCAGAAGGTGAGAAATTATATCCGCTCAAGGCTTGCAGTATCAAAAAAGTTCCAGGTATGTTCTACGAGCAGTGTCCAGCCAACCTTGCTGCTAAATCTGCGTTAACGTTAATTTAAAGTCGAACTCGAACTTCCGAACTCGAACTTTGCGAATTCGAACTCGAACTTGAGTTCAAGTTCGAAAGCCGAACACTTCGACATCGAACGTAGGTTCGGGTTCGTAACATTCCTACGTATACCAGTTAACTGATTTAACTGATCATAATATACTGATGTGGACTACTATCCATTTCAAAAAACTCAAACTTTCTACAGATATTCTCCTACCGCTTGTACATTTACGGTTTTAGCGCAAAAACACGCAAATGCTTTAGGCACCAGGAGAAGTTTTTAAAAATCTATGATTTTTTATGTAGAATCCATTTTCTACGCTAGAAATATGTTTTTAACCAAGATACATGGCATATTCGGAATCAGCGCGCCAAACTGCATCGAATAATGTATATTACAAAATTTTAAAAGAGAAAAATTTTAATCTTGGTCGCCTTAAGGGGATTTTTTATAGAATTCGTTTTCAGATTTCTTTAGTTTTCGAGAAAAAATGATAGCATCCGTAATGTTGATCAATACTAAAGCCAAAACATAGTGTGAATATACAAAAAATTGACTTGTCCGAATGGTCAGCCAGAATTGCGCACTGTGCCAATTCAGTATAGTATGATCAGTTAACTGTCATGTAACTTTGACTGGTGCAGGTCTGCCCTTTAGTTAAATTTGAGAATATAGCAATGATAAAATAGAGAGGCTTTCAGAATACAGAACTGATTTCTCCAAGATTCCTTAAAAGGCTAAAATTTTCAGCGAAATTTTTTCTCCTTATCCAGAGGATCCTAGCGCATAGCGAAAAACGAATATGTCGATCTCCTTTCTTTAGACATGAAAGACATGAGCGATCCTAAGAAGAAAGATTCTGTTTACGTTAATCTACTGAAAAACATTTCTACGTAATCTTATTTATCCTCTTAAATGTCTAAAAAATGCTATCTGACGTATGCAAGCAATATGCTGCATTTTATTAAAATGCAAGGACATAAACGTCTTTTCTAAACTACAAAAGATAATTACTTGTTCTTGTGGAATAATCTTATCATATTCTTCTATCTCTGATTTATCCAAAGAGTCCGATTGTCCGAAACACAATCGCTATATCGCCATTATTCGTTGATTAATGTGAGACATTTGGATGACTGAATTTGTGTGCAAAACAAGGTCATTTAGTTCAAATAAAGCAGTGAGGGGAATAAAAATTAAATACTTTTTGTTTTATGATGAACAATATTGTTGTTTTTCGACAAAAAATAGTATTAGGGTTATTCTTGATTTCGGTCATTTTTTCTATCTATTTAATGAAAATTATGATTTTTATAGTTATGGTGGTTCTCAGTATGTGTATGTTTTTCTTGGAGTGATGCCTTCAAGTTAATCTCACAAATATTAAACACACTAAACTAAACCAAAATGATTCATATTGGTAACTGTTATGCTTCATTAGTTTATGAAAATATATCATATTCCTTTAGGTTACTTCAAAATGAGTGGAAAAAAAGACAGAAAGAAAGACCTACTGCAAGATTGAACAATGTCAAATTCATCTAAATAAGCCAATCTAGTGTCATAGTGTACAATCATGGTTGAAAACGTCCTATGAAAAATGTTTTTCTAAGAATGGCATCTACTATTTATACTTCAGATTTTTTCTAAATGAGGAAGCCGCATCTTAGAAGTAGAAGCCTGCACAATGATTATTGCTTATTAACAATTTATGAGATACTAGATTTTTTTCGCAATATTACACGTTCACCGTGTTAACGATTCAAATCTATTTTATTTAGACTACTACCTTGTGATTTGTAATGTATCACTTGATGGAATTATTTTCGTTTGTATTAAGATATAAAACCGTATAATACAGATTTTTATTTCTCCTTGTGTTTTTGTTTCTTTTTATTAATAATAAATGGTAAATAACTGTGCGATATGGGAGGGTTTTTTCTAAAACGTAGTTATCAGCCGCACGTTTCACAGCAATATTCCCTCCCTCCTTCTTTTTACAATGTAGTTAAAGTCAAATCAAGCAGAACGATGGAGCATACACATACTGTATGTAATTAATAAACAAAACTATGATAAACAAGAATAATTCGATTTTTTGTGTACGTGTTTCAGAATAATACTGTTCTAAGAGAAATTTTTTTCCTCTACGAAAACTCAATACTTTAAAATCAAAAAACTAAGCAGACTATAATTATTAGATTCTGGTGCGGTAGATTTCTTATTACACACGATAAGGCCATGTTGACTTCTTTGATAGTGTAATCATACGGATAGCGAGTTTATGAGTTGATGTTAGTAAATCGAGATGCGTTTTGAAATCATTGTCAAATGCTACACAACAATAATTCATTACTGGCAAAATACAGGTTTTATAAATATGCAGTCGAATAAAAGTAGGAACAGATCCGAATATTCAGTTCATAGAGTCTTACATCTGTCTGCATCTCTTAGGTGTATTTTTAAGATGAAATTTCCATGTGAGATCTGATGAAAGATAAATCCTAGTAATTTTATATTTTTTTTCTACCATTATTTACTTCCCATTTAATAAAAGAAGTGGGAAATGCTCTGGTGGTTTTTGATTAGAATCTGGTGGTTTTTCCACAAATCCTGGACATGTTAAAACTTAGATTTATTTGAATTTAAACGTAAAACAAAATATTTTATTCATTTTCTGTTTGTATTTTTTTTTCAAACAAGTAATACATACCGTCATGTTTACTATTCGTCTATATAGTATAGGCGACGCCACACTAGCGGATAACTGAGTAATTCCAACTTGTCCAAAAAGAATGAGCAAAGAAAATGAAATCACATTTTGTTTATGTTTAAATTCAAAATTTCCATCCAAGAAATTTGAATTGCTGAATAGTGGATGCGTATAAGCATATATTCTCCATCTGATCCTATACTATATTATAGAGAATTAAAGCTTTACCAAACACAATGCTTTCGTAGAGAATGGAACCATGTCCTCGCTTATTTCATTACGAAATAAACAATACTAAAATTCTTTTGTACAATGTTTCAATATAAATCTTAAAAATTAATAACATGATTTTTCATTACCGTAGATTTATCGGCCGTTCCAAATATTTTACTATACTCAGTTTAATAAATTATTGTTTTATCGATAACTGCTTTATATTTGTATGTTCAAGAAATCTTTTTTATTTTTCTAAAAGAATACCTTATAGTCCATGAGAACAGTGACTATAATTTCTCTTTTTCACCGTCGATCATTAGTTATTTAATCATGTTATTTCGCTGCAGATTTAGTTGCCAAAAAAAACATTTTTATACAAGAGACTTGTATGTTTTCTTCCTGTAATATACTGTATAAAACGAGAGAGAAAGCTTTGTTAAGATTATTATTCTTGTGTAAATATTCAATACAAAACTTAATTTAGAAATAACTTGTACCTAGGGTATTTTTAAACATAAAAAGAAATGCGAATAAAACAAGCAGATTAGTTTGAAATTAATTTTGTACTTTAAACAACATTGAGATTTGAACAGAAAGACAATACTTTGACGATAAACTTATATCTCTCTTGTTAGTTTATTCAAAAAATAACAAATGAGTTTATAACTCGATAAAAGTAATAAGGTAAAAAAGCCGAGAAAAATGGAAACAAATAGAACAAACAACAAAAAATTTACTTTTTAGACGATTTATTCACAATTGACATTTTTGTATGATAATCATTTGACAATAAAGAATTTGTTTCGTTATGAACACCGTCAATTTGTAATGTTATTGGTATTTTATCTTTTCGATTAAGGGCAATTGTATCATCGGCGGTATTGATAGTAACAGCAGTTAATACTTCTTTTGTTTTTTCGTGATTATGATTTGGTGGTTTAATATTACCATTAGGTGGACTGATGCTTTTTTTCGGTTCTTGCTTTTTAGTTTTTGGTTGACGTTTTACAAATGTTTGACATCGATTTGGACAATAAGATGAGACAGCTTCTAACCAATCGAACAATGTTTTACGATAGGGCGGTGATGTTATACCTAAAATGAAGAAAAATACAGATCACAACTTTCGCTAAATATGCATTCACTGATACAAATTTTCCAACAAAAGGTCTATTACTCTCCAAGGACACTTAAATAATCATACTGTACTAGTAGATCAGAGGGAGAAAAAAAAGGATAATGATTTGGAAATGATTAAAACTTCAGCGTGTAAAAACAAATTTTATCATACGAGATTTGTTACAGAATGTAAATGTATGACAACTTTAGCTTAACAAATTTAACAAATACTATTTTAGATGAAAATAAGAAACAAGAATTTTTAATATAGAAGTTTCAGTTAGCCGATATATTTTGAATGAAAACTAAGTTTCATCAATCATATCTCATTCTTTTTAAAAGGAACTTGGTAGAGAGAATAACTCCATTTGAACGTTGCTCCACTCACCAATGAACAAATCATGGAACTATGTGAAGCAGTAAGTGATCTAAAAAACTTATGATTTACTAGTTTAATGAAAATCCTAGCATGATTCAAATGTGTGAACAACATGGAGCAGTATTAAATAATGGTAAAATGTAGATGTACACTAAACTAACTAACAAATCTTGTTGAAGGTTTTTTACATAATAATCCTTGAACTCAGCGTAAACAATGAAAAATATAATTTATCTAACGGTCATTAGAAACACTACGCACAGTGTGCATTTTTGGCTAGGCAGCCGAGTATGTCTTTCTAAAGCAGAGTACAAGTCTACGAAAATTTTTCAAATAGGTTTTCGAGTGTACTCATTCCAGTGGCAGTGTTTTCAAGGTCCAAAAACGGTTTTTAAAAAGTTTTATAAAGTTTCAGCCTCTGGGAAACCTCTTAAAAACCGTTTTGGACTTTGAAAGCACTGCCACTGGAGTGAGTACACTCGAAAACCTATTTGAAAAATTTTATAGGCTTCAGTCTGACGTTATAACTCATGTCCGAATACGCAGTAGAAAACTTCGAGAACAATGTCTTCAACCGCAGGATTTTGTAAAATCTGTCACTTTTAGATCCAAAACCTCTCTTATTGTACAGCGGTCGATGTACAATAAGAGAGGTTCTTTGCGCTGATTCCGAATATGCTATTTTTATCAAATTTTAAAACATTTTAGCTTGAGAAAAATAGAAAATACTTGAAAAACCACGGGTTTGGGCAAAACCCATAACTCGGCACAGGAGTATTTGTGCTAAATTGTGCTGACTCTGCTAACAGCTAGTATATAGAAGAACATTTGGTGGAAGTTTTATTCAAATTGGAGTTTCGCTCTTCTTCGCGCACATACTTTACTGAATATGCCTCGTCCGAAAACTCACTAGAAAATGTATTGTTATTTTTCCACAGCTTAGAAAATACAAAATCAGAAATTTTTTTAGCAATCGGTAGAGGACTCGATATAGATTCTGAATATGTGTCTGTTTGTCTCCAGTCTTAACTTGGTTTTGCGTATAAATCCGGTTTCCAACAGCACCAGTGTTTTCGGCCAAATTTTTTCTTAGCGACTTTCCCGCTAAATATGACAGTTTGAAAAAAAATGTCAACGGCAAAAGATAGAGCGTATGCTGAAGTGTGTGACCTACTACTCAAAACTTGAAAAGGTCACTTTCGTTTTTTCACCAAAAGCTCGCCTGGATGCACACTGTGCTACGGGATTTTTCATTATCGAGCTCAGAGTAAATTTGAACAAACATGAAAAATTAAGCAAAAGAAGCGTACTCAGGTCAAACAAATCGTATACGATCGTATCTGAATCAGACAAAATCGTATGAAAATCATATCTGAATCGTGGTATCTGATTTGTCCTCTGGATCGTATAATACCATCGTAGTAGATCATATACGACCATACAACTTCGTATGAAATCGTACAGTACGAACCAGAGGACAAATCAGACACCACGATTCGTATGTAAATCGTACATAATCGTACATAATCGTATGTGATTTCGTACGATTGGAATACGATCTTGTACGATCGGATAGTACGATTCTATCACCTGGTATGTAGTGGCAGGCTGTTTATGGATGAAAACTTTTCACTCAGTATTCATCTCATGTTTAAACTATTTCGACTGAGATGTAAGGATAAGTGCCTATGGACGTATCGTATCTACAATCAACTCTTATGTAGAGTTCATTTTACATTTACTTACCATAGAAAATGAAGTTTAATGAATGATTTGCATACTGCATCAGATAAACGATTGCTGTCAGCGTTGCATGTGATACTTCCTCGTTTGAATTTCGAAATAGAACTGTGGTTACAAATACAACGGGTGATACCAATATGAAATACAGTAGGTTCAAAGTGAACAGTAGATAAAATAAACTTTTTGCTTTATTCGGAGTTACACGTGCTGCATTATCGGCATATGCTCGTCTTGAGCGAAAAAATCGTCGTTCTTGATAATAAACACGATAGACAATGAAAAAAGTACCAATTGTCATCACAGAAAAGGGAACTACAGCATACATGCAAACATCAATCCATTCCCATACCTTAAACAAAATCAGTTTTTGTTATGAAAATTGAAGTATTTGCATGTTAAAAAATGACTTACATGATCCCAAAAATAATCGTAATTACTTCCTTTAAGTGCTGCACACTGTCTTGCTCTTGTCGATACTGTTGATGATGTAATAAAGAATGTTCCTGTCGAATTATTAGCTTGTGTCACTGTTACAGATAATGGTGAATAAAAAAATTTATTTGACAATGAATTAAGATCTCTAGTTGATGATGTAAAATCGAATGGTAACGCACGTTTAGTCCTCGTATCATCGTTAGATTTATTCAAAAAATATTTATAAATAGTTGAAATAAATTTTGATACAGTTTGTTGTTCGTTAATTGTTCGTTTTTCTTTAAATGAATTAAATTTGGACGCTACAAATTGTGGTGAAAAATAATTACTCATTGTATACTGAGATTGTGTAGTTGAATCGGAATAATAAAATGATGATACCATATTTTCTTGTGTAGTAGCGGCAGATGTTAGAAATGTTTGTTCATTGAATTCAATATTTTCTATTTCTAATCTAATGAAAACTAGTTCATGACAATTGAATAGAGCGGTTATCAATAAAATGATACCCACAACATATTCAGCTGATCTTGGTGTACAAAATTTTCTTGCAAGTTGTATGTAATTTGTGGCTATAGCACGATCGATGGATACAGCAGCCAGTATCCATGATGATGAATGTTGTGACCAATAAGTAACAAATGTATGCAAACGACATGTAATAGGTGAAAGTTTACGTAGTGAAAATTGACCATATTCAACAGTTAAAAATAAATCTAATAAACCGCTATAGAGTACAATTAAATCCATTAGAGATAACAGTGCCAAATAGCGAAATGTTGAAGATTTACGCATTGTACCCGTAGAAAATATGATACATGAAAGAATATTGCCAAATGTTCCCACCAATAACAAAAATATTGATCCATAACGAACGATCGTTGGATTAACAAATTGGGATGTCAAGGATGGAGGAGGTTTCTGATCAGTCATAGTCTCCAGGACAAATAGTCATTGGCTGTTACAAATTCATTCATCTTGAAACTACAATGAAATATATCTAAATAAAGAAAAAGAAAATATTAGTCTAATAACTCCTTATACAATGTCAAATATTTTCTTTTTGTTTTTTAGAAATTGAAATCATAGTAAATGAATTGAATTCATTTCTAAGAGAACTGTTTTTACATTTAATCTACTTATCGTCGGATCATGTCTGGTGAGATATCTTTTAGTGATTACTGAAGAATAATCATAGAAAAAAGATAATAACTGTTATTTCATTCTAATCTTCTATATCAAATAACAAATAACACGCGATGTATCATATTATTTCCGCTTTATAATAATTATCAACCATTTTCTTTGTTTTATATCAAAACTTTTAATGTGATAGCAACGTTTAAGCAGTTCATGATTTACAAAAGTCTAAGTGAAAGGAATAAGACGGAAACTAGAGGAAATTTGCACTAAATTTCAATTCTTTATTTGGTTTTGCTCTATCTTGATCTATTTCTAGATATAATAAAAATGAAAATACAAGGAGACAGATGATTTCATGCCTTTTTGTGATTGTTTGTATTCAGTCATTTGTAAACAGCAATAGAAGAAAATGAAGAGGAGGATATACCTCGGGAAATCATTTGTATCAAAGCGTCCGTTATTGTCTGTGAATTTTCATCGTTCTCACTTCTCAGAATCATAATAATTAATGTACGATAAATGGGCAATGATTTTATGTATCAAGATCGAGATTTTCTGTCATACAGTCGTCAATTATTACAATCAAATTTGTCACTATTTTTTTTGTTTTCTTATGTATTTTTCTTTTTTAAAAAGTAATTATTTTTTTTGTTTCGTATATCAGTCGGTTTGACACCTAATCGATATAGAAAAGTCTGAAATTATCTCTTACGTTGAATTGTGCACATTTCCTTCCGAATTAGAAAAATTTTTTCATAATAGAGTACAAAAACACGTTTTATTTATCTACTTCGAACTTCCTCTTTTATTTTCTTCTAAAAAATCCGTTTCCAAAGGTAGTATTATGAATGAACGAAAATTTACATCATTACTTGTGGAGAATGGTGTCTAACAATGAAACAATAACGATGGTGGAGGTGTTGTTTCGAGAAAAGAAAAGTAATTTCTATGGCGATTAATAAAACGATAGAAAAACATCGTCATTTTTAATGAGATCCGAGAAGGCACCGTTAGATTACGCATTTTATATTTATGCTGTTTTAACATCTCACTGTTGCATCAGTCATATTCATTTTTTTCTCTCCTAAAACATTGTGTATATTTGTCAGTATTCTTCTCTACTTTGAAATGGCATTTATTTATGGTATAACATTAATATTACTTCAACAATAGGTTTAACTCAATTTTTTATATAAAGTATGGTAATAAATTGTATAATAACTTGTAACTGTTGTCTTTAAATGGAACAATGAGCTAGTTTACATGTTTACTTTCTTAATAAATAATGTAAACCACATTATCATTCAAAATACGACAACAATTGATTTATTTCATAAACCTGGAAAATGTCATTCCAGTTGTATTTTCTCATTAGTTGTTATGCTAAAAAACAAACGATTTCTTCTTACAAGATTTCTACTTAGGATAAAAAATTGCCGATTATTTTTTCATTAAATTAGTAGTAGTGTAGTAATAGTAATAGTAGTAGTAATAGTACGTCTATATATAAGATTTATTTTTTAAGGGTGAAATATAAATTAGTGTCTTCTTTTTGTGATAGACTCATGTG